GTCGGTCTTAACCAGCGTAGACTCCGTCCATTATGTCCTCTCGCGCTACGGCCACATCAATCACCGTTATTGAATTCTCCGTGCTCATGACGATGTCCGGTTTGCAGAAGGAGTTGCCCTCGGGGACGTGGGGCTCAATCAAGAGGTCTCGTCCATCGCTCATTAAACGTTCTGCTAGTAGCTTCATGACCAAATTATGTCGCAACACGCGGGCATGATGCGTTAGTTGACAGCACTGGAGTATGTGGAATAAGGTCTCACGTTTGCCACACTGGCCTCGACACAATACGTCCTCAGAGCCTGTTCTCCGGGATTTGCGGGACTTGGTGAAGAGAATACCCGCCCGAAAGTGGATGCCACGCAAGAAGAGTTATGGGAAGACTTGGTCAGGAGAAGAGAGCCAATGATTGGCACTGGCAGAGTCAGCAAAGTGAGCGAGGGGTCGACCATCCGCGGAAGCATAGAGAGAAGTCCTCCAGTAGTTCCTTGCGTCCTCTTTACTTGCCAGGACCGATTGGCCCAGACGCACCGGTTGAGCTGTTAGCCGTATACCAGGGAAGGCAGAAGGGACAGCGGCAGCTGCTCGTACTGCAGGCTCTTTTGAGGAGAGCACTGAATGCAGTCGTCGGCGCTTAGAAAAAGGAACGAGAACTGCCAAGCATGGGACACCAAGGACCCCGTCTTGAATAGCAGTGTGCAAGAAAGAGATTGGCGTGTCCGCCGGGAGCTTCAGCCACTTCCGTACCGCCTGTCGTACTTGTAAATCCAATAGTTTCAGAGTGTTGCGATGCACTGCTCCAAGTACCAACTGGTGCAAAAGTTTTGTCACGCAATGACGCTTAAGAAGTATAAGTCTCTGCTGCGGTTTAAGAGGTGCTCGGGTTATCTCCTCCAACATGTTGTTGAGGACCGGACGGTGGCCTACTGTCACCTTTCCGCGGTAGGAAAAGGGCTCCCCCAAATAATCGAAGGTGTCCGTCGGCCCTAACGTGCGCAACACCATCCCCCCGATTGAAACATCGCACAGTTGGAGGCATGTACTCTTCTCTTTTCCAAGCGCTTGTAAGTAGAAGGAAACGCACTTGGCCGAGTTAAGGACCAAACCGGCAAGGGAGAGGCCATTGGCTAGACCATCCAGCCTCTGCTGAAGTCGATGAGGCGATTCGGCAAAAAGCACGAGATCATCTGCATATGCAATGCAGTCCACTGTTACTCCATCCAGCTCGAAGCCAAGCTGCCGATGAGAATAGGAAATAGCTTCAGATAGAGCACAAGAAAGGAGAAGGGGGGGAGAGGGGGTCACTTTGGCGGACACCACGCAGGCATCGGACCTCAGTGTCAAAGACATGGGTAGTAGTTCTGGAGTAGGAGGAAGATAGGAGATTAAGAAGTAGAGGCGGCCCTGCGTGTGCGACGGCGGCTCGCAAGAGCGTGTCATGGTTCACGGAATCAAAGGCCTTCGCAACATCTAACACGGCCACAGCAATGGATTTTGGAGTAGAGACCTCATGCCGTAACATTCCATGAAGTAAAGCCGTCGCCTCTGCCCTCCCATCCCGCTCCTGAAAACCAAACTGGAAGCGGGCAGTAGGACATAGGCGTGACCGCCTGTGAGCAAGAATACGGTTTAGTAAGCGAGGGATAATGTTGGAGACTGCTATAGGGCGGTACTCCGAAGGAAGATGAGGACGCTGAACCTTGGGGATCAATAAATATCTAACTCTAACAGGGGTATACTACATTACTTACAAAAAAATAACGATAGCAAAATGAGTATAAGAAAAACGACAAAAGGTAAATAATTGTACAGACTCACGACAAATAAAGCCTTCTCCGCAATCGTTGGCCGTAAGGTGAATGTGCCGGGTAAAATACGAGACGAAGTCAGTGAATGAGGCTTGTCGCTCAGGTGAAATTACGTCCAGTTAAATATGGCCAAAAAATATAAAAGTTTCGTGTCGATTCTCTGTCGAGGGCAGTGCGGCCAAAGGGAGAATCTCTTCCGTAAACTCCAATGCTGTCAGATAACGCACCAGACCCGAGTGTGGCGGCACAACTTGACTATGAAGTTACTGGTCTCCAAGCTTGCTGGTCGTGGACATGAGGTGCTGATTGAACCCCACATTCCTGAGGGGCAAACGTTCAAGATGCCGGACAGTGTGGTGTGCGCCGAGGACGCTCTCACGGTGGTGGACGTATCCGTTTCTGGGGACGAATTGATGGACACGGTCTACGCTGGGAAGATCCGACACTATTCCACAGTGGAGGTCGAGGGGAATCTACGGAGGATCCTCGGGAAACCAGCAGACATTCCAATCCTACATGTGCCCGCCATCTTTTCCTCTCGAGGCAGCATATCACCGCGCAGTGAAGCTAGACTGCGGCTTCTAGGATTGTCCACGTTTGATCTATCGGATTTATGTCTGACTGTGATACGAGGCTCTCTGAAGGCCTATGACGTCTATGTATGCGGAGCCGGCAGTGCAGAGAACGGCTGAATAGGCGAAACCAGAAGTTGCCAACTTAAAAACTGCCCTGGAACACTGTCTTACAAGATCATGCAATGCTTGCTTTTCTGGGGCATGACCTGCTCAAAATGTACTTTCAGTTGGAGTATAATAAACACTTCATAGCCAAATGCCTCGTCATCTAATTAGTGACGCGCATGAATGGATTAACGAGATTCCTACTGTCCCTATCTACTATCTAGCGAAACCACAGCCAAGGGAACGGGCTTGGCAGAATCAGCGGGGAAAGAAGACCCTGTTGAGCTTGACTCTAGTCCGACTCTGTGAAGAGACATGGCGGGTGTAGTAATAAGTGGGAGACGGGGGCTCCTTGTGGGCATCTCGTACGACAATGAAAGACCACTCCCATCATTGTTTCTTTACTTATTCAGTGAAGCGGGAACTGTCAATTATTTTCTATGTTGGCATTAAGCACACGTTGGTGCGTTGGTCTCACTCTGTGCGGCTGGCGTGCCGGCGTCCTGGTCGCAACTGTCTGGCCAGGGCTAGTGGTGTGCGTGCTTTGCCCTCTGCTCTGTGGGTTGTTGCCGCAAGGTTGCAGCCAACTGGTGGTGGACGGTGGGTGCGTGTATCCGGTCTTGGTGCTATCAGGCTGGTTTGGCGACGTGCGACCCGATCTGAAGACTGTCAGGCGGGGAGTTTGACTGGGGCGGTACATCTGTCAAATCGTAACGCAGGTGTCCCAAGGTGAGCTCAGTCAGGACAGAAACCTGGCGTAGAGTAAAAGGGCAAAAGCTTACTTGATTTTGATTTTCAGTACGAATACAGACCGTGAAAGCGTGGCCTAGCGATCCTTTTGATCAACCGATATTCAGAGTTTGAAGCAAGAGGTGTCAGAAAAGTTACTACAGGGATAACTGGCTTGTGGCGGCCAAGCGTTCATAGCGACGTCGCTTTTCGATCCTTCGATGTCGGCTCTTCCTATCATTGTGAAGCAGAATTCACCAAGCGTTGGATTGTTCACCCACTAATAGGGAACGTGAGCTGGGTTTAGACCGTCGTGAGACAGGTTAGTTTTACCCTACTGATGGTTGAACTGTGTAAACAGTGAAGTACAATCTGGTCGTTGCAATGGTAATCCTGTTTAGTACGAGAGGAACCGCAGGTTCAGACATTTGGTACATGTGCCTGGTCGAGCGGCCAATGGTGCGAAGCTACCATCTGAGGGATTAAGACTGAACGCCTCTAAGTCTGAATCCCGTCCAGAGATGCGCAACGATACAGTTTGGCCTGCCACGTGGTTGGGCAGATATAGTACTTTCCGGTCAGGTTTCATTCGGATGGGGCCAGCGTGCCACACCGAACCTGGTCGGTCTGGTAATGTAATGCCAGAGCTGTGACCATAACCACATGCACCGGGCCATGGTGTTGTGGAGGTCGACATGATATCCAATTGTGGTATGAGCGTGGCGGCACTAAATCGTTTGTAGACGACTTAATGTTTTGTCGGGGAGACGTGAGTATTCGAGCAGCTATCACACTGCGAGGTATTGAGTCCTATCCCTACCGGACGTAATGATTTGAGGCCTTGGAGCCCCATTCATGCTGTTCTTCTTGTTCTTGTTGTCATTATTTATCTGCCTTTTGGCATACACGCACATGTGCGTCCCCTCATATACATTGACGATTCGGCTATTAGCGCTGTTAATTACAAATGGTGCGATGGCTTGCGTGGGGGGATGCATATGTGCGATAATGTACCAGAACAAGAAAGTGGGTCGTAATCTGCGTGTATTCCTCCTATGGCTTTGACCTCGGCAATGTGCAATCCTCTTTCTCTCATTACTAGTACGAATACTACCAGCAAGCAAGCGCAGTGTTGATTGCACCACTACGAAATTGGTCGAGCGTGAAAGCCAGACATTGTGGTTTTGGAAAGATATTCTTGAAGCCCAGACTGAAAGGTGTTGATTGCACCAGTACAAGGCTTACAGGGCTGCCTGGGCCTTACAGTGTTCATTGCAGCAGTACAGGGCTGCCTGGGCCTAACAGTGTTGATTGCAGCAGTACAAGGCTGCCTGGGCCTAGCAGTGTTGATTGCACCAGTACAAGTCCGGCTGGGCCTGCGTCGTCACAGAGCTCTCGAGGTCTCCGTAAAGTTGAGCACACTACCGAGCACGCAGGAGAAAACGCACACATCTGCTGCTTTTTGGATTTAGCATGGATTTTATCTCTGTCATAATTATTGTATTGTTTACAGAACACAATCAACACATAAGTCTACTTCCATATTACTTTCTTTTTTAACCCCTCATAATACTTGCTTTCCTCCTACGGAAGTTGTGTTGCTCGGTTTTGACTAGTTG